CCCCCGAATTGTTACTGAGGGACACAGAATTGTTACTCAGGGACACAGAATTGTTACTCAGGGACAGGACACAGAATTGTTACTGAGGGACACAGAATTGTTACTGCGGGGAACAGAATTGTTACTCAGGGACAGACACAGAATTGTTACTGAGGGACAGACACGAATTGTTACTCAGGGACAGACAAAGAATTGTTTGTTACTGGCGGGACTCACAGGATTGGAGCTGAGGGGACACAGAATTGGTTACTCAGGGACAGAACAGAAGGGTTACTGAGGGACACAGAATTGTTACTCAGGGGGACCAGACACAGAATTGTTACTGAGGGACACAGAATTGTTACTGGGGGACACAGAATTGTTACTCAGGGGACAGACAGAATTGTTACTCAGGGGACACAGAAATGTTACTGAGGGACACAGAGTTGTTACTGAGGGACACAGAATTGTTACTCAGGGACAGACACAGAATTGTTACTGAGGGACACAGAATTGTTACTGGGGGGGACAGATAATTGTTACTGGAGGGCAGACACAGGAATTGTTACTCAGGGACAGACATTGTTTGTTACTGAGGGGACAGAATTGACACAGAATTGTTACTGAGGGACAGACACAGAATTTGTTACTGAGGGACACAGAATTGTTACTCAGGGACACAGAATTGTTACTCAGGGACACCAGAATTGTTACTCAGGGACAGAACAGAGATTGTTACTCAGGGACAGAAAGAATTGTTATCAGGGACAGACACAGAATTGTTACTCAGGGACAGACACAGAATTGTTACTGAGGGACAGACAGAATTTGTTAGTGAACAGATTTGTTACTCAGACACCAGAATTGTTACTGAGGGACACTGAATTGTTACTCAGGGACACACAGAATTGTTACTCAGGGACAGGAACAGAATGTTACCTGAGGGACACAACGAATTGTTACTTGGGAGGGACAACAGGGAAATTGTTACTTGAGGACACAGAATTGTTACTGAGGGACACTGAATTGTTACTGAGGGACAGGACACCAGAATTGTTACTGAGGGACACAGAATTGTTACTCAGGGGACAGACACAGAATTGTTACTGGGGACACAGAATTGTTACTGAGGGACACAGAATTGTTACTCAGGGACACAGAATTGTTACTCAGGGACACAGAGAATTGTTATACTGAGGGAACACAGAATTGTTACTCAGGGACACATTGTTACTCAGGGACACAGAATTGTTACTGAGGGACACAGAATTGTTACTCAGGGAGACACAGAATTGTTACTCAGGGACAGACACAGAATTGTTACTGAGGGACAGACACAGAACTTGTTACTGAGGGACACAGAATTGTTACTGAGGGACACAGAATTGTTACTGGGGGACACAGAATTGTTACTCAGGGACAGAACAGAATTGTTACTCAGGGACACACAGAATTGTTACTCAGGGACAGACACAGAATTGTTATGAGGGACAAGAAAAAAAATAGACAAAAAAAGAAAAAAAGGGACAGACAGAATTGTTACTCAGGGAAAGGTACACAGAATTGTTACTGAGGGACACAGAATTGGTTATCTGAGGGACACAGAATTGTTACTGAGGGACAGACCACAGAATTGTTACTCAGGGACACAGAATTGTTACTCAGGGACACAGAATTGTTACTCTGAGGGACAGACAGAATTGTTACTCAGGGACACAGAATTGTTACTGGTGGGGACCACAGAATTGTTACTGAGGGACACAGAATTGTTACACAGGGATTGTACTCAGGGACACAGAATTGTTACTCAGGGACAGACACAGAATTGTTACTCAGGGGACACAGAATTGTTACTGAGGGACACAAGAATTGTTACTCAGGGGACTCAGAGAATTGTTACTCAGGGACAGACACAGAATTGTTACTGAGGGACACAGAATTGTTACTCAGGGACCACAGAATCGTTTAATTAAAGAGTATGTCAGACAACACGCAGAGGAGTGGCAGAGGAGGCAATGTTTTAGGAGCGAGCAGACGTGGCAGCAGAGGAAGGGGTGGAGGCAGCACTAGTCGCAGCCAGAGGCCAGTGCTCCCGGTGTCATCCAGCGGTCGTGTCTCCACCGACAAACCCTGCCGTCATCGATTGGTTGGCTCGGTCGTCTTCCTCTTCCCAGGTCACCTCTGACACCTACAGCCAACGGTCGGTGGGTGTACGTCAGACACAAACCGTTAGTTGGCATGGCCCGGGAGCAAGCCCACTGAAAATCACGTGTCCTCTTACCTGCCCCTGTCCTTTGGTGTTCCCTCACCAAGCGAAGTATCGCATGCTGTGGGCTCAGCCCCACTGTACAGTGAGGAAGAGCTAACAGAGGGCGGTCAGGAACGGGGGGAGACATCGCCTCTTCAGCAGCCAGGCGAAGAAGTACTGGCGAGGAGAGTGGCTCGGTAGCCGGTCTAGAGACAGGTCTGTCTCCTGACCCACACGCAGCCGAGGGGGCTAGTAGTGAGGCGGAGACCCTAATTGATGATGATGAGGCTGATCGCACTTGGCAGCCTCGTCGTCATCAGGCTATTGCTTCCGCATCATCAGGAGAGAGAGGGTGGCAGCTTGGCAGCGAGCAAAACAGTCGGTGGGTTGCCCAGGAGGGCAGCAGGGTCGCAGCAGTGTCAGTGGAGGCAAACGGCCACGGAGTAGAGCACCAGCTCCACTGCAGCCTACCACCACGGCCAGTAGTGGTGCCGGTGTGCACGGAGGAAGTAGCAGTCAGCCAGTGAGGAGTATCGGGGGGGCAAAGTTTCCTACTCGGCGGTGTGTGGCAATTTTTCGTCAAGCCGCCCGAGGAAGTAAACGTAGCCGTATGTCGACTATGTGGCCAGAAAGTCAAGCGTGGGCCAGGGGGCCCATGTTGGGACTACAGCGTTGCGTCAGCATATGCAGCGTCGCCATTTGGTGGCCTGGGGAAAACCGTGATAAAGATACGGCGGTTCTGCCCTGCCCAGCCCCCCGCTCCATCACCCGCTCCGTTACTTGCTCCGTCACCCGACGTCAATCGCCCTCTATCAGCCAGTCAAGGCTCCAACACCTCTGCTGAGGGGAGTTGTCGCTCGTTGGCATCTTCCGCTCGTTCAGATGCTCCTTCTCCTGCTACTCCTCTTCACGGATTCCGTCAGCAGTCTTTCTTGGAATCCCGATTCCAAGAGACAACAGTTTGCGAGCACGCACCCGACGGTGCAAAAGCTGAACGTCCTCCTGTCCAAGTTGCTGGTGCTGCAGTCCCTCCCTTTCCAAGTGGTGGACTCAGCACCTTTCCGAGAAATGATGGCTTGTGCCGCGCCGCGGTGGAGAGTGCCAAGCCGGCATTTCTTCGCCAAAAAGGCAGTGCCAGCCCTGCATTCACATGTAGAAGAGATGGTGGGCCAGTCTTTGAGCATGTCGGTCTCTGCCAAAGTGCACGGCAGCGCCGACGTGTGGAGCTGTAACTACAGGTCAGGGACAGTACATGTCATTTACGGCCCACTGGGTGAACGTGGTGCCGGCACAGCCGCACCAGCAACTTGGACAGGTCACGCCGCTTTTGCCTCCACGTTTGCACGTCCTTGGTCCACAAAAGATGTCCGCCTCTACCACCTCTTCTTCCGCCGTGTCCTCAGCCGCCACCCCCGTGCCAAGTCCCATTACCCGACCGGCATATCACATGTGCAGGGCGCAACGGTGTCACGCTGTGCTGCACCTGGTATGCCTTGGCGAACGTAGTCACACAGGGGAGGAACTTCTGAGTGTAATGAACAGAGAAATCGACAGATGGCTGTCTCCGCGCAAACTGAAAATCGGAACCATGTTGACCGACAACGGAAAGAACATGGTGTCTGCTCTGCGTCAAGGAAGGTTGTGCCATGCACCATGCATGGCTCACGTGTTCAATCTGGTTGTCAAGCGGTTCCTAAAAATCCACCATCCCACTGCAAGACATCCTTAAAATGTCACGTAAACTTTGCATGCATTTCAGCCATTCCTACACCGCCGCAAAGCACACCGGCAGAATTCCACAGCATCGCCTGATCTGCGACGTTGCAACAAGGTGGAATTCAACCCTACACATGTTAGACCCGCCTTTACGAACAGCGAAAGGCCATCACCGATTTCCTATCACCGATTTACTTACACTATGTCGATGGCCCCATGTGACTCCTCCACCTGCACAGGGGAGTGTCCAGGACGGCCCATGTGACCTTTGGTTTAACTAGTAGTGAGCATATAAAAGAGGGAGCAGACATTTGGTCAGTTGGCTCTGAGGAAGAGGCAAAGTCCTTGAAACGGTCAGCCTTTTTTTTTGGATGTCTAAACTCCCTATTGCGGACTGTTACTCAGCGCGGTGTTGATCCAGCTGTTCTTTTATGATGTGCCTTGACTATATTGTCGTTTGTGGAGTACAACACCTACTTTATTATTTTTTATTAAACATTTTTTTATGGTTTAATGCACTAGGCCTGTGCGCCCATCTTTTTGTTCTTTCCCCATTCAGTATATTTGGGATTCCCCCGGTCCCATTTGAGGGCAGCAGCAAGGTGTGCATGTTCCAGGACAATTCTTAATGTGGTTGTAGCATCGAGTCCAAATCCCCAAGCGCAGGAGCATTTGTGTTTTGCTGGTTCTATGTTTTAAAAGGCATGGGGAGTCTCCTGAAGGCTTAATTTTTTTTGCCACAAGTGTTTGGAAAATGTGATAAGAAAAAAAAAATGTAATTTTTTTTTAACACATAGTTGTCAATCTATGAGATATTTCTATTACACAGCATAGGCCATACTTAAATTACACCTCAAAATGCATTCTTTAACTCCTGCTGAATATGGTGATACCAAATGTGTGAGACTTTTTCACAGTCTGACCACATGGGGGCTCCACATCCAATAAGCACCTGTTAAAACGTTCTAAGGGCAAAAACATTACATATCTAATTTCTTGACTACCTATTGCCGTTTTGGAGGTCCTGGAGCATCAGGACAATGGAAATTTTCCAAAATGGTGAGTGGAAATTATGGTGGGGGGGGAGGGCGGAGTGTGTCCCCCAGGGCCGTCTTGCTGAGCAGGCTTGGAGCTCAGGCTGGATCTGTGATTGGCACTGGGAGCCGTCAGAGTGCTCAATAGCTGAGCGCAGTGAAAGCAAAGCAAGGAGTGAGTGCTGTGCTCTCTGCCTCCCCCTAGAGTACAGTACCCGGATTCTGTTAGTAAACAACGAAGTACTGCAACTTTTTATGGGGGGGGGGGTATGTGTACGTGTACATGTGTGTGTGTTTGTGTGTGTCTGTGTATGCATGTACAATTGTACATGTGTCTGTGAGTATGTACATGTGTGTATATGTACATGTGTCCTGCGTGTATGTACATGTATGTGTACATGTGTCTGTGAGTGTGTGTACATGCAAGTATATGATCCAAACGCACACGTTCCTGCGTTTTTAAAAATGGCTGTGTGTATGAGTGGGTGCTGCAGTGACCGTCGGCTGGAACCAAACAGAATCAGCAAGGAAAAAATGTCCCCAGCACACCGAGGATCACCAATATGGGTCCAAAGGTTTTAATAAACCATCACATAGTTACAGCAAGGCAACGTTTCGGAGTCTCGCAGGACCCCTTCATCAGGCATGTGACAAATCGTGATAGAAACTGGAGAACTATTTAAAAAAAAAAAACCATCCACCAATCAGAGTGAAGTGAAAAGATGAGCTTGGCCCCCACCCCATGATGTCATGTTCCCGTCCAAAAATGTATTCAAATCAATGTAAACAGAAACAATACAAACTGCAAAAAAAATAAATAAACAATAATCAGATGTACATAAACTGCATTCCTGGGGATATAAACATTGTGGTCACATGTGTATCATGGTACTCCCCGGATTGTAATAAAAGTGTCAGCTGAAAGCAGCGCTGGGTTCTGGAATCAACAACCAGCAGCATATATGTCCCTGACAGAAGATAAAGACTGGTTACCTAGAAATGTGGGAGGGTTGTCTCCCGATTTGCCAAGTGAGCTGCAATGGGGACACACCTACAGTGGTCCTATTAGTGCAGCGGCCGACAGTTTCATAGCGACGCATGTCACCTGCATGCACCATGAGAGTTTACTACTCACACATGCGCTCAAAGACATTCCTGCACCGGTCGCCATCATCATGGAAACCCATGATGTTGGCGCGCGGGAAGGACAAGGCTGAGGCAAGTCGCCAGCGTCATAGAAACATATGGCGCCGAGCCACACAAAACCAGTGAGGTGGGCGGGGTTGCAGAGATGAGCTGTGAAGAAAAAAGAACGCAAAGAAAACAGATTGAGGGCTAGTTCACACCACATGCATTTCAGTTACTTTTCATCTGCATCCAAAGATAAAGTAGTATACTATACATGGTTGCCACAATGTCATAGTTCACATCAGTGTTCGTATTTCCAGGTGCGTTCTTTTTTCTACACTAGTCATCTCATTTTTTCCTTGTGTGTTGTGTACATGGTTCAGTGTGTGTGGTGCATGTACAGTTGTGTTCAAAATAATAGCAGTCAGACATCACTAACCTGATCAATCACTGGTTTTGGTAGAATTGCGTCAATATTTCCTACTACATATACAGCCAAAAATTAGTGTACTAGCAGGTGCTAGTATAAGTACATAGAAAAAATCCAACAGACACAACAGCCTCGACAAGCATGCTGATAATTCTGTGTAATCTGAATCAATAATTGAAAGGGGCCTGTTCAAAATAATATGCAGTGTGGAGAGTTCTATTAGTGCGGCTCATTCATTCTTTTAAAAAAACAGGTGGCAATTATTGCCCTTATTTAATGAAGG